CAGTCTGTGACTCCCTCTCTCTCTGACCCTCCCCTGCTCACGCTGTCTCTCTCTCTCTCTCTCTCCTAGAAATAAATAAAACATTAAAAAAAAATTAAAAGAAAAAAGAAGAAATTCTCTTACATTATTTAATTGATCACTTTTCTGTTTTTTCTTTATTTTCTTCTTCCATAACTCATATTTTTGTTATTTTGTTCTACTTTCTGGTAGATTTCCTCAATTTACATCTTTTAGTCTGTATTTCTTTCTTTCTTTCTTTCTTTTTAATGTTTTATTTATTTCTAGGAGAGAGAGAGAGACAGCGAGAGCAGGGGAGGGGCAGAGAGAGGGAGGCACAGACTGAAACAGGCTCCAGGCTCCGAGCTGGCAGTCAGCACAGAGCCTGACGTGGGGCTCGAACCCACGAACCGCGAGATCATGACCTAAGCGAAAGTCGGACGCTTAACCGACTAAGCCACCCAGGCGCCCCATCTTTTAGTCTTTCTATTAAACTTTTCATTTCAGCTCTAACATTTTTAACTTCTAAGAAAATTGTGCTGGGGGCATCTGACCGTGGCTCAGGTCATGATCTCACGTTTTGTGGGTTCGAGCCCCGCGTTGGGCTCTGTGCTGACAGCTCGGAGCCTGGAGCCTGCTTCGGATACTGTGTCTCCCTCTCTCCCTGCTTCTCCCCCACTCATGGTCTGTCTCTCTCTCTCAAAAATAAACATTAAAAAAGAGAAAACTGCACTTATTCTATGATTTTTTTAGTTGTCCAAGTATACCTTCTTTTCTTACATTATTGATAAGTTTTCTTTTTTTTTTAAATTTTCTTCTTTTGTAACTCATATTTTTTTTTTTTTTTTGTTCTGCTTCCTGGTAGATTTCCTCAACTTATATCTTTCAGTCTTTCTTTTAAACTTTTTATTTCTGCTCTTACATTTTTTTAAAAAAACTCTATTTATTTTTGAGAGACGGAGAGAGAGAGAACATTTGAGTGAGAGAGAGATGGAGCGAGAGAATCCCAGTCAGGCCCCATGCTGTCAGCATCAGAGCCTGATCTGGGGCTCGACCCCACGAACTGTGAGATCGTGACCTGAGCCGAAATCGAGAGTTGGATGCTCAACCAGCAGAGCCACCCAGGTGCCCGGGCTCTTCCATTTTTAATAAGAAGAGTTCTATTTGTTTGGTCTCTCTTTTTGATATGAGAGAACAAATAGTTCTCTCTGTCTCTGCTTATTCTGGGTTCTTCTATTTGTTTAGTCTCTCTTTTTGATATGAGAAGTCTTCTCAATGTTTAGTAAGTTATTCAGGCTCTTTGTTCATATCTAGGAATGGGTCTAAGAATTGAATTAACAGCTCTGTGCACATGGGCAGGGATCGAGGTCTGGTGATGTGCTGATGTGAGGATGTGGCCACGTGGTACAAGGCACTTTCGTCGGTGTATCTATTTCTCCGGAGAAAGGGATGTGATGGCTCACGCCTGGCTGTTGGCATTCTGATTGTTGACCCGCAGGCCAAAGAGTCTAAGCAGAGTGGCATGTCTGTGACGGTTGACGAACCTGTATTGACACATCATTGTCACCTAACGATGTTTACAGCAGGTTCACTCTTCGTGTCCTACACTCCATGAGCTTCAACAAACGTATAATGATGTGTCTGCACCATTATATGCTGTCCTCCGAAATAGTTCCACCACCCTGAAAGTCCTCTGCGCTCTCTGCCTCTTCCCTTCCTCTCTACCATCTCCTGGCAATCACTGGACTTTTACCTTCCCTGTATTTCTGCATGTTTTAGGAGGTCATGTAGTTGGGATCCTACATTGGCTTCTCTCATCCTTTCACTTAGCAGAATGCATTGGCTTCTTGCACTGGCTGTATCTGGCTTGCCACAGTGCGGGTCGCAATCTTTCCCTTGCCTTTGGTAAGGTGTTCCCCGCTGTGGATCGCGTAGATAGAAGTCAGGCCTGCACCCTGCCCTCAAGAAGCATGCAGTGGTGGGGGCGCCTGCGTGGCTCAGTTGGTTAAGCATCTGACTCTTGATTTTGGCTCAGGTCTGCATGATCTCACGGGTCGTGGGTCCGAGCCCCGCATGGGGCTCTCCACTCAGTGCAGAGCCTGCATTGAATCTTCTGTCTCCCTCTCTCTCTCCCTCTGCGCTTCCCCTGCTCATGCTCTCTCTCAAACATAAAGCAAGCATTTAAGAAGAAGTTTACAGTGGTGGGTTGTGAAAGATGGGCATGGGAGGGATTATTTTTGGCTGCCATTATTAGGCGAGGATTGGCTCAGGAAGTAGCATTTGCAGTGAACGTGGAAGGAAAAGCATTTGGACCGGGATGGTTGGAATGTGTGGGGAGACAGGACAGTAAGCGAAAAAGACCTACGGGAAGGTCTAGACCTTGGATGAGGAGAAGCGAATCCTGAAGTATAACTGGAAGATTCATTCGTGTTAAATGAGGTTAATATATAAATGGACTCATGAGGGATCTGGAACCAGGTGTAAAGAGTGTAACCC